AAATAAAACCTGAGGTAGAGAAGGAGAGAGGGTAGGGGTGGAGGGTGGGAGGATGGGGGAGAGACAGCGAGGGAGAAGGATAAGGCAAAAGAGAGAGGGATAGAGAGGAATAGAATGAGTGAGTGAGAGAGAGAGAGAGAGAGAGAGAGAGAGAGAGAGAGAGAGAGAGAGAGAGAGAGAGAGAGAGAGAGAGAGAGAGAGAAGAGAGAGAGAGAGAGGAGAGAGAGAGAGAGAAGAGAGAAAGCGAAGAGAGACCAAGATCGAAATCGAGACAAAGCGAAGCAGACAAAAAAACAAACATCCACCCAAGAAACAAAGAAAAGCAAAAGACAAAGACCCTGAAAAAAATAATCAACCAAACCTGAACATCAAAAAGAAGAAAGAAGAAGAAGAAGAAGAAGAAAAAAACGATTAGCCTAAACATTATTCTTTTTTTCCTTTAAAACTGAAAGGAAAAGACCCGCTTCATAGGCTTCGAGGCGTCCTCTCGAGACCGACTTGAAGATCCGGGTCTCGAGAAACAAAGGAAGGACGGACGAAGATGGAGGGAAAGAGTGGAAGGAAGAATAGGGAGGGAGGAGGAGGGAGGGAGGGGAGGGAGGGAGGGGGTGGAGAAGGGCGAGAGGAAGGAGAATAAAAAGGGATGGTGAGGACGAATAGGGAGGGAGGGAGGGAGGAAAGGAGAATAAAGAAGGATGGTGAGGATGAAAGAGAGGGAAAGAAAGAGAAGGCAATGAAGAAGACGGAAGGGAGAATAAAGAAAAAAGTTGAAGCTGAAAGAGAGAGAAAAAAACAGGAAGATAATATGTAAGTTTGGATGAAATAAAAGACAAAGAAAAGTTCGAAAGCCGAACTCTCGGGACCAACGCGGATATTGTAGCAAAGTCCGGACCGAAGAGGAAACTGAAACGAAAATACCGAAATAAGATAAATAAAAAGGACGGCGGGAGAGAAAAGGGGGAAAAAAGGAGGGAGAAAAAGGAGAAAATGGAGAAAGAGAGGGGGAAAGGGAGAAAGGAGGGAGGAAAGGAGAAAGGGAGAAAATGGAGAAAGGCAGGGAAAAAGGGAAAAGGGAGAAAGAATAGAGAAAAGGAAACAGGGAGGGAAAACAGGAAAATAAGGGAGAAGGAAAAGGGAGAAAGAGGAAAAAGAAAGGGAGCAGGGGAGGGGAGGGGAAGGAGGGGGTGAGAAGACCCAACTCCCTTCCAATGG